AATTCTCCAAAATGGCTTACTAGTAAGTACTTCTTAAGACTGTCAAGGGGATTAAAAAGAAGAAAATGATACAAGCAAGAGAAGATTGAAGAGATACTAAAACTAGATGTGATGTTCTGGTTGCAATACTGGGAGAAAGGAAACCTAAATAAATAGTGAGCTTTAGTTACCTACAAATAATTAATCAGTTTTAACAAATTTACCATTCTCATGTAAGAAAAAGTGGCACATAAAAATACTGTACCATCTTCACAAACACTTTTCAAAAAATTTAAAATACTAAAATAGAGTATATAGAAATTTTTAAAAACTGAAAAGGACATAAAGAAATTTTGGAGTATTGTGGGTGTGTTAAAAATATAGTAAATCAAACACAAGTGCACAGACCAGGAACTGAGAAGTAAAGCATCCCTAAATTGTCGTCAGCCCTTTTCTCTCTCTCAAATCCAGCCTGTCTTGTATAGAAAATTTATTTCATATCAAGATCATCTACATAAACTTCTCATATTCTCCAGCTCCTCTACTGTTATTCTAGTGCATATTCAAAACCTGTGTTGCCTGTACTAGGGCAGTAGCCCCCAGCCTATGCTAGATGTAGATATGAGACCCCCACCCTTGCTCAAGAAGAATCTTACAACACCTGCCAATATTTGCTGCTACAGGAAAGGCTGGGAAAAAACAGGCAGGAAGTCAACCCCTTGCCAAGGGGCTGGAGCTCAGAGAGGGCTATAACCATTGCCAGTCAGAAACAGGGGCACTTGTCAGGGGAGCAGTATCATGGCTGAGAATCCTCACAGCAGCCCCTCAGGAGGAAAATTCAGGAAATCCAGAGAATCTCAGGACCTTCCCATGATGGGCATGAGGAGGGTCTCATCTGCTCTGCTCTGCCCAGCTGTTAGCATTAGCTCAGTCCCTGGGTGGTGTTTGTCCATACAGCAGTCTGATGCAATAGAAACTGGACACTGGAAATGTCCCCAGGAAAGGTAATGGGAGCCACTTTGGCCATCCTAGCTGTTACAATCTTGCTGTCTCTAGCCTCACTGGACAAGCATTCTCCACACGTCATCACTCTCCAAAAACTGCCATGTAGTGCCCTATTCCCAGCAGTGTCCTTGCTTCCATCCTGGAGTGCTACACAGGGGTCTGCCCTGTCCTTTCCCAGGACCACCTAGCTCATGATGTGGCCCAGGAACCCAGCTCACTTCCAGTCCCATTCTGCTCCTATGTCCCACACCTGGCCAGTCCACAGATGTTCACATGGATCCAGTGGGGTTTCTTCCTCCTGCCTCTGCTGGGGCTGCTGATCCTCATCACCACCATCTGAGAACCCCAAAGTCCTCTCCTGCCCAGCTCCTTTCCAAGTCCTAAATTGGGTCTGGGGAGTGTCCTAATGACCACTGCTCCATCTTCTACATGCAGCCTTAAGTCTGCACAAACTTCCTGCCTGGGAACACTAGGGTCCTAGCTGGCTTTGTGGTGGCTGACAGAAGTACACTCTGCCCTAGCTCTCTGGATCAAACCTCAGAAAGCAAGACCTCATAATCACTCAAGTAGGGTGATCAGTTCATCAAAGCTTGGTCAATATATGGAGGATCAGCTAAATAATAACCCATAATCATGGTGAGTTGTTACTCATGCACAGAATGATCATTATTTACCAACCATTAGGAGACTCATCAAAAGGCTGCATCATCTCCTGCCAGTTCTACCTAAAGTACAGTGTCTTGGAAACAGTTGGATGTATAATAAAGATAATTACATATGATCATCAGGAGTGGGCCATTTACAGCTCAGCTGGTGTCTGTGAAGAGACAGGAAGGGAAAAACACCCTGCTTGCCTGACTGAGACTAAATAAAGAAGAGGATTGACAAAGTGCTACTCAAAAGAGGTGATGGGGATTCCAGAAGGAACATGCAGCAAAGAAAATACTCAATCCCAACAGGGAAATTTGGCCTGCTGTCTCTGATTCTGATGATATCACAGCTCTCAGGAGACTTATAGATGAGGCACAGGGGTATGAAGGGTGCAAGTAGCAAGAGGAAAGCATAACAGTCTGCATGTTGGGGGTGGTTCCTCCTTTGAAGATATCTGTCCCTGGGGCTGGTGATGTGGCTAAAGTGGTAGCGCTCCCGCCTGGCATGTGCGGGGCACTGGGTTCCATCCTCAGCACTACATAAAAGTAAAATAAAGAAGTTGTGTCCACCAAAAAATAAAAAATTAAAAAAAATAAAAAAGATATATGTCCCTTCCTAGGGCTTTACAGGCAGATTCTGGCTTCTCATATCTAAGAGAGTATGGTTGCATGACTTAAAGTCCATAGATATGAGAATAGAATGGTCTGTGTTCTGTGCTCATAGCTTGAGAATTTATCCTGGGTCCTGTAGCACCTTGTGCAGAACTGTTCATTAATTTAGGGGCAAACTGAGGTAACATGACCCTTCTAAAGACAAGCAAACTGGCAATGGAGTGTCCCCACTTGGCCAGGAAGGAAAGAAAAAAGAGGTGAATGGATACGTGTATCTCCCATAAACTGTTATGTAGTAGGTGTTCAATAAAAAGCAACTAATACAGTTTGTTATAAAATCCTCTTCCTTTCTGAGAGGCACCTCAGAAAGGGTTAGATACACCTGTAAATTCTCCAGTTTTTTCAAGCACCTGCATGCTATGTAACAGGTGCTTTCAAATACAGGGTTATGTTTTATTTTCAAAGGATATTATAAATCTCAGCAGGGAGGTTTCCCCTTCTTTACTCAATAGCACTTTTCTGCAGTACCCATGTAAAAAAACTCCAAAATCTCAGTACACTGAGAATTTCTCTTCTATTTGATTCATGGTCAAAATCACAACTTGTGATTCTCTTCGTACCTTTATACTACCCAAACACCTAAGCAGATGCTTTAGGCACACTAAATGCCAGTATTTTCCTATGGGCCAGATTCCTAACAAGAGCAGTTTGGTTAATTATTCTTTTTAAATTCAAGCTTACATGACAAGGAAATATTTTCACCTTCTGGCAGACTCTGTAGATTTAAGAGCTCAGCCTCAGTAGGTGTTTGCTCCACAGTAGTTTCCATGATCTTTCCTCTTTTATAGCTTATGAGGATGTCTTGTCTTTGACAACCAAGGTAAGCTCATTCAGCTGTGTGTATTCAGTGGTCACTTTCAAATAAAACATCCCACTCAAATTATATAGGATGGTTTAAAAAACCTTAACTTTACATGTCAAGAATGAGTAGATTATGTGCTAAATCATACTATCCTTGCCACCCACTTGTATACTCAGACAGGATGTCCACATATCTGGAAGTCTCTGTCCCGAGCAAACATTTAAGTTGAAATGGCTGTTGCAATCAGAAAGGTCCCAGGATGAGCTATGGGGAAAACCAGGATAATCCTGCAAGGTATTGGTATGCTTTATGTTTCATGGGGAACAGTGACGTGCTGAGTAACAGGACAGGTTGCAGAGCTGGAAAAAGGGTATAGAGTGGTCAGCCAGGGCAAGGGCATTTTTGTGTTGCAAAGTGCTGGAACTGGACAAATATGCCCACATCTTGGCTTACCTGGCTCTCAAGGAGTCAATCACTGGATATTCCCACATTATGTTTAATTCTGTCAACTTATTAGGACCACATTTACTACATGCCCCTCTCCTGCCCTGGATCCTTCTTTTTCTCATCAGAGATGTTATGGAGTACTGAAAAATGAATTAATACACAGGTCCACCTCAGACTGAGGAAGTTAGAAGAGTGTGGGATATAGAAGAATTCAGAGCAAACTTATCATTCATTAGCCATATGATTTTAGGAATATTACTGAACAATATGAGGCTCAGGTTATTCATCTGTAAAACAGATTTGATATAGCACTCTGTGGAGGTCTGTTGCAATGTAGGAAGTGTATGTAAACACCTGGCATATATTGAGTATTTAGTGATTGGTACCTATTTCTAGTACTATCAAGACCCTAGGTAGTACACCATTCCCTCTGGTATTTTTTCCAGAATATCTGAGAGGACTTGCAGCTCAATATGAAATTGATTAGGAAATCAGTCAAAAATACTGTTCTGTAAAAGTTACCTCAATGATATGTATTATATGATAAGATGGAACTCTTCCCTTCCTGAGTACAACTAACACAAAGCTCATAGAATTATATAGTCAGGACCAGCTCCATGCCAGACTCTGTTCCATCCAAACCACGATTTCCATTCATTCCATCGCCATGCAAAATCAACTGCTTGGTTACAATGGGTGCAATTACACTGGTACCCTAATTAAAACACCACTTTACTGCACAGTCAGCTCTGGCTCTCCCAACCAAGCAGAGGGGGTCCTGGCCAGGGACTTCTAGGCCTCACTTCTTTAGACATTCAGTCTTCTCTCTCTACAGATCCTTGCAGTTGATGGTAACTGAGCACCAAGCTCTCCTGTTGTGTTCAACCACACAGCACCTCTCACACCTGCCCCAGGTGGAGATTCTGCTCTGCTTCGTTCACCATCAAAGGGAACGACTCAGAGTAGTCTTCCATTCTCTCAGCCCTAAGACACACCATCTAAAGGTCTGGCCCTGGCCTCCATGCAGTGTCCTTGAAGTCCAACCCGCAGAAGGCACTGCCCCAAACTGCCTTGGCTGGCATAGGACATTGGCACTCGGCTGCTCTACACTGGAGGTCCACCTGCTCACCCTCCTTCACATGTTCTTTGGGTCTCTGGGGACACCTCACCCCGTCTTCCTGACATGGTTGCTGTATTAACATTCAACCATGGGATTCAGTCTGGCTAAGCCTACTGTCTGATTATTCCCATTACTCATTCTCTCTCTTTTAGAAGAGCAGAATTGCACGGATGTTCCATGAATCAATGAGGCAGTGAGGAGAGGGCCTTTTCATTAGCATAGAGCTTCTCCTCCATTCTCCAATACACACAAGCAAATCCAGGTGCACACCAACTTTCTTAAGGATACAGGGAAGACAGGTAATAATGGAAAGCGAGCATTCACCTTTGATTTCTCTATCATTTATTCATTCTTTTTCATGACCAAGTTCTTTTCCACATCCAGAAATTATCTCTTACACTCCCATGTGATCTTTGTTCAGGCCCCAAAAATAAAGAATGAGATGCTAATTAATGAAAGAAAAAGCAAAACACCAAAGTCCTAAACACTATGTTCACAGCAATAAATGAATGAGTATGGTCTTCATAACATCCCATTCAGAAGTAAATTAAACTTTCAATCAACAGGAACATTTGAAAAATTCCATAGGAAACAAAGTTCAATTTCCAAGTCGCACAAATACAGAAGCATCAACATGTTAGACAGCAAGATCTCTTCCACCTTCCCTGGCCCCTCACTACTTAGAAAGGTGACTTCTCTCTTCCAACACAGATTGAAAAATGGGCCCTATCTCACTTGGGGGTGTGGAAGCTTCGGGATGTGGCCCTGCCATGTTTCCTGGTCCTGGGCCATCCCCTGGGCACCCTAGTGGCCCTGGCTACATTTGATACTTCGGTACACTCTGCCTCATCTCTCAAAGCCTTTTCATACAAAGAAGGGTAGGACCTAGGGTCACTCCCATGGACCTGGGCCCAGTACTCCAGGACTTTCATCTTGTTGGTTTCAGCACGTGCCCTTGGACCCCAAAGGAACTCATAGAAAGCAGGATCACTACCAGGTACCTGGCGATACTCCAAGTACTGTTCCTGCACCAAATCTTCAGTGATGAGCTTTCTAGGCTCTCCATAGATGAAGTGTTCTCTCCCAGCATGCACACCCATCATACTCAGTGCATTCCAGAGAACCTCCTCAGTGGCATGGTCACCCTCCATGAAGATGATGCACAGAACCATTATCAGAAGGCCCGTCTTGGGCATGCTCTGATCATCGCCCACCAACCCAGCATAGGTGAGACCCAAAGCATTAACAATGGCATACGAGTGGCTAGAGGGGTCTACCTCCTTTACATGAATACCAAAGACCAGATGCATGTACTCAGAGGCTACACTGAAGACCACAGGGAAGTCATCCTGGTTATTTTTGATGACACTACTCAGCATTTCGGTCTTGGTGGTCAGCTCCTTCATTTGATACTTGAGAAGCAGGAACTGCACCAGGTCAGCCATCTGCTGATCCAGTGGGTTTTCCAACAAGGACCTATGGTGTTCCTGGTCCTGATAGGGGAATGAAACTTCCTCTTCTTGGCTGCTGGAGATTTCACTGGACTGGATAAATGAAGTGGGAGCCATGGTGACAGAGAAAGAGGAGGAACTCAAAGGAACCTGTGGAAAAATCAGTGGCCCAGGAGCAGGCACCTCCCTCTGGGTAGCTGGTACCAGAGGAAGGGAAGTGGAGGAGATGCAGGCAGAGGAGGCCCCCTCCTCCTCAGGCCTGAGAAACTGCACACCAACGAGGCTTGGTGCCTCCCTTTGGGCCTTAGGTTTTCCTTCTTGCTTGCGGTGCTGGCGCTTCTGACCATGAGATGACATGGCTCTCCTTGGGTACAGTAGTCAAGACGGTGGGCAGGAAACTGGTCCTGGGGGAGGGGAGAGGGATCCAGTGAACTTAGGACTACACCCTTCTTGGTGATTACAATGGCCCACTACCAGGCATTTGTTTGGGTAGTGATCTAGGGCTATGGAGGCACATGTCCTTCTGGTGGGCCTGACTCCTTGAGTAACTGAGAGAGGAATTGAAACAGTTTCTCAGGATGATGCCAGCCTGCAGAGCACAAGGCCCCAGGGCTGACTTATACCCTGTGGAACTAGGTTGCCCTCTATTCTGCACATCACCATGACTTCCAGCACTGCCTGGGCCTCATCTGCTCTGTGACCTGAGGACATTGCTTCAAACCAAGACATTCACCTGCTGGTTTCCAGAGCTCTTATAATAGGCATTTCAGACTGCAAAAGCATTTCTGGGCCCCCAACCCTGACAGGACGGATGAGATGGACTCTGTGAGGCCCATACTGATCTGAGGTAGATGGTCCCCTTGTGCTCACTCTAGGTTCTCATTTTACCCTAGGCAATACCTGGACTCAATCTCCCTTTTGAACTAAAGCAAACATTCTGAACAAGTGTCCAACTCTGTGAGAAAAAAGTCAGTGAGTGTTCTCACATCTGGCCACACCTGCCCAAAGGTGACTATAAGAGCTGACCAAATTTAGGGGTTCCATTTTTCTTGGCATGGATGACCTACTTGGTGCTCACCTTAATGAAAGTCAAGGTCTGTGATGGTCCTCTGATGACTGAAGGCACCTTCATTAAACCATATCCTATCACTGTGAAACACTTAGAAATGAAGAGAGGGGAGGCCAGTGGTCCCAGATCTGTGTTCCCAGATTTTTCAATGGTTGAAAAACAGGGCAGGTGGGGATTGGAGTCTTGTGCATTCATGTGTAGAGATTTCCAATGCCCTCACCTTGACTCCTGGCTATGCCTGAGATCCTCCCTCTGCTGAAGTGAGTCCATGACCCTCTTAACAAATCCTTCCCCTTTCTGACACCAATGACACAGATAAGAAAGATGTTTCAGCCTAAGAGCCCTGCCTTGGCTTCAACGTCTGACAGCAGGCACAGAGAAGATTTCTGAGGGGCACCTCTGTGTTTTTGGCTAGGTATCCCCTTGATTCTCCCTCAAGGTCCTCACCTTAACTCTGGGAAAACATAACACCCCTCTGTCTGATAACAAGATGTGGTTCCCTGTGCCAATGTGATGCCATCCTGTCATATAACTTCTTTCAACTCCCTAAGAACCTCACAACTCTCAAGAGAATTGATCAAATGTCATATCCCATCACCACTTTGTGGGTTCTAAAGGGTTGATGGCCAGACCTGGGCCCTATGTATTCTGGTATGAGGATGGGGATCTACTCATGCCCAGGCTGGCTCTTCTTCATGCCCATCTTTAGAACAATACTCCCATCTCCCTAAAGACCCCCCAATCTTGTGCCCATGCTAGAAGTGACCATGCCACTTAGGGTCTCTCATGGTTGACCAAAGTTGAGAGGCAGACTATGTGGGATTCCATGTTTCAGAGCTGGGGATGCTTTCAGTCCTTGTGAAGGGTCCATAACTTGGGTCTGGCAGTTCCTAGGATTCCTCCCTCTCATAATCTCATGTGGCTCCCTCTGCTGACCTGTCATCACCTTTGGATCAAGGTCCTTACCCACATATTATCTCCCAGCCAAACCATAAGGCAGAAATGAGAGGGAGTGAGACCTGAGATATTCAGAGATGTTGTCTGCCCCCACTAGGCTAATTATAGCCAGGTTCTGTGAGGTCCTTTCTTTTGGGAGGTATGGCATTCAGTCCCTGTCACCAAAGTTCCTCACCTTGATTCCCGGCAGATGCTGGAATCCTCCCTCTGCTGACCAGCTGTGGCTCCTCTGCCGTCCTGACGAGCTCTCTCACACCAAGGCCTCACCTCCCTGATTTGGAGGAGACAGAAGTGAGGACAGCACATTTGGACATGGCTGCATGGGGTTTCCCCA